TTTCGAGGTTGATGGGGATTTAGTGCTGTTTTAACACCGGTTGAAGAAGTAGCGGTAGCATATTTATGGGAGCTCTTCGAAATCATCGTGATGTCATGGATTCCTTTGCAACATATCGGGTGAGATCTTTCCCTTATTTTTCGCTTAACTTTCATTCAATTATTATTTGAAGCATTATATGCTGGGTACGGGACGGTCCACCATTTTGTGAAAAGAGGGCGGGCTCTTCTTCCCACTCATTGGGACATCCTCCTGTTGGATGGTCTGTTTTTTGACCGGTTGTATGATCTTGTTTGTTGGAAGGAGATTATCATTTATCCAGTGGATGCACGTGGGCGATGTTGCCCACGTGTTCACCCAAACCGTTTTTAGCCCTTCATACAATGGTAGGTTGAGTACAATTAGAGGTTATTAAACTTGATCAAGTCGAACAGCGAGGATAGCCCACAGTCTATCGACAGTTTTCTTGCTACAGTGGGTGCTAGTTCCATATCATCATCATCATAAATCATTGAATATCAAAACCAAAAGAAAACAATTCAAGCCTCAGAACTTTAAAAATCCATTTTGTTACTGAAGATAAAAATCGTTCCGGTATTATTAAGTTCAATAAGTAAAATAATATACATAGGGGAAATGGCTCTAATGTTGGCCTATGGATCTAATATTGAGCCCATCGCTTAAAATCTGCTATTTATCAATTTTATCTAGATGATGGTACTAATGGATATTTTTGGTTGCTATTGAAAATTTAGTTGATTGCTGAATTTATGTATGGACCCAAATTAGGGGCATTTAGGCCGACATTACATCCATTTCTCCTATCATATACAGGAAGGTATAGTTGTTTGCAAATTATAAAATTCAGGGTGTGTGAACCGGAAAAACCGGGAATTTAAAAAGTAGCCGGGGAAAACTGGGTAAAGCACGGGAATTCGACGAGAAAATATACCCCAACAAACATTGAAAGTTGAACTTGAGCTTATTCAAGCAAACATATTCTTCTACAGCTAAAACAAATGGGTTATTAAGCTATTATCAGTTCAAATTGTTTGTTGGGACGGGCACTCAAATTATACAAAAAAGGGATGATTGCCGATTTGCTCATGTATCTCCGATGTGCAATAGCAGCACCTGCCCTACCCATGTCTCCTTGAGATCGATAAATTGGTTTGTTAAATTGTCGCACGTACAGTGGTAGAGGCAACAATAGGTGCAATTTCAAATCCTATCGGCGAGATCAGTGTTTCTCAGTGTGTCACGAGCCTCCGGTGGGTCACGGACTGCCCTCAGGTAGGTCGCATAAATTCAGACAGCTCGTGTTACAATTAATTTATAAAAATATAATTAATTAATGGGCCGTATGAATAAAAAGAGTTTACTTTACTTTCCCGTGCTTTTCTTACGGGAAAAGTAAAGTAAACGCTTTTATTCATACGACCTAATATCTCCATAATACTAACTTGATTCGTGATGTTGCCTTCAGCAAAGTTGTTCCTTATAGTTTAAGCTACGTGTGCTGATATTCTGAGCTTAATCGTGTTTGCTGATCCAGTTCTATGCACAAAAGAGTGTAGGAATGTTATTTCTCCATACATTTCAACCAATATCTCCATATAAACTTTAAATCAAAAGCGCCAGCTCGTGTTACATCCGAATGACCTGTAATTTTCAGAGAGTGGTTTTCTCACCTAATGGCACAAATCTAGAGGTTGGCCCGTTGAAAAAACTGATAAAAAAAATTCCCCCATATAAATGTGGGCCAGTATACAGCCTAAATCTTGATTTAGGCTCTGAACCATTTGGTGGATTATTTTAACTTTTGGTTAAAATTTGACAGATGGAAAGTTATCGATTAATGCTCTGAACCATTTGGTGGATTATTTTAACTCTTGGTTAAAATTTGACAGATGGAAAGTTATCGATTAACCCTGCTATCCGAGCGTGGTTACTTTTGACAGACAAGAAGTTAAATTTTGACAACCTTGGCTCGAAAACCGGTCGATCGACAGCACGGGGATTTTCGAACATAGAAAATAACTTTCGAAATGTCACTTTTAACCACGAGTTAAATTTAACTCGGCAAATGGTTCACAGCCTTAAGGCTGTGGCCCATTTGGAAAATGTTCACTTAAATTTGACGCTTCGAAAATAAATTAAGATGTTCGAAAATCCCTCTGTTGTTGATCGGGCGATTTTCAAGAAAGCGTCTGTCAAAGTTGATTCCTTACTGTTGAGCTTTGTTTCAATTTAGTTATTTTACCGCACGTATAAATCATTTCAAGATTTCACGACCGTACCGAACAAATTTTATACTACAGAAGCTCAAAAAAACTTTTGGTGAGCTCTACCGCATTGCGAATCACTTCTGCGTAAGCTCCATAGACGTAGGCGCGTTGATTCCGACAGCCGCGAAAAGTTAAACATGCATCAATACCACATAAGGAAAGATCGATTTTACGTATGGTTTAGTTCATAGATTAACATTGACTGCTGTTTACAAATGTAAGTACTTGAATACCAAGAAATAAGTTAACTCAAATGCTTTAACCGCATATATAAGAGATTTCGCGTATTGAGAGAATAATATAGTAATCGAGTACAACATACAACGAGTACAATACCTCCAAAAGTTTAAAAGCTATTAATTGTCACCTACCTCTACTTTTACTTATTTCCTAAACTATTCCTCTCCTTGTTAATCTGCTTAAGGCTATTGGTCTGCCTGCGTTTTTTTTTAAAGTTCAAGACTAAATAAGAAGATTTATTCTACAACTTTAAAGGTTAGTTGCCTCCCCAAGCGGACCCCCCGCATCCTAATTCTTTTGTTAATCTACTTAATGTCATTAGACTTTCTGAAGTTTCTTATTTAAGTTCATTTGATGATTATGATATCTCATTAGTCTAATTTAATAAATTATTAAAAGCTCTAATTCACCTAATCAATCATAACCCATGCTTTATTAAGTACCTGCACTTGTGCTTGTAATCTAAAATTAAACGTGTTTCAAGTACTTTTGATTTAAGCCTATGCCTATTTATTATATCTTAGTTCGACCCAGGTAACACCTTCATGTGACTAAAATGCTTCATTTTGAAATTAGTTTCCTAGCTGATTTTTAAATTATATAGGGTATATGTTCCAACTACGCTCTCACGTTTCCACTATGTCGCACCACAAAAATACATATGGGTATGTCACAATAGAAGCACACCACAGTGGAAATCCCGAGCCATAGTTCTAACACTTATCCCAAATCAAAATAAAGCACATATAAGATTAGTTACAATACCATGTACAAAAATGATGTTTAACATTGTTTCCTGAGAAATACTTCAATGAAAACAACAATGAAAGCTTGTCACGCAAATAGAATGAGCACCGTTAGGCACTTTCTGAAATATTTCAATTGTATAATTCCCTTGCAAACCCAAATAAATCTATCTGCGTAAAAATAAATAAAATAAGAGTGATTTGCGGCAAAACCAGCCAGTATCACACCCAACGTCAGTGCCTATACGTAAGCGTACTACGACGCGGCTCTCAATTAAAGGAGTAACAAGTGTGATACTATCACTGCTGGATTAGATCTTTGGTTCTCTCATGCAGTGGTTTATCAGAGAGGGGAAGCTTAGTAATCTCCATTGCCTGCCGTTGACGCCATTCTATCGCGGCATGAGTCAACAACGCCGACCATAAACCTACCGTCTCCAACACTTCACTATAAAGCATGAAATTAAGCCCGCCCACCAACTGCAAGGTGCAAAAACTAGCCAAGGGGAAAGAGGGCTGTTCTATCATTTGATTTCAGGACTATTTTGGCATTCTCATGCAATTTTTGCTATTTCAATGTCATTTTGGAAAATCTTGGATTTTTTTGAGCACACACCTCACCTCACTCGTGGCGCAGAATAGGCCTCATTATTCGAAGAAAAATTGAAGAACGTGGCATTTTATAGATGGGCCTAATGGATAAATACAAAGAAATTCCACAAGGAGTCTAGAATTGTGAACTAATTTTGAGGAGGAGGATTGCAAGTTAATTCTAAGGAGGATTCCAATGTTGTTAGTAGAATTCCAAGGCAACGAAGAGAAATCAAAGGAAATTCTGAAAGGATTTTTAAATGAAAATGGAACGGAATTTCTATAGGAGTGTAATTCTGTGGATAGTATGAAGGAAATTGCAAGAGAATTCAATTCCAAGAAAAAACCTGTTGAATGCTTATGTCTATACTGAAACTAGTCTATTAGAACACAAAACTGAAGAAGTCTGCACATTGTAGACAAAATATGCGTATCTGTCAAGGATAAGCAGTTGTGATAATGGAATTAATTGTAAGATACTAAATTCTATTTTTTTTTTTTCAATTACTAAATTTTGGGAAAACATTCAAGGAAATAAGGGACTGTTCATTAACTACGTAGACGGTTTTTTAGGATTATTGACCCTCCCCCTCCCTAGACAATTGTCCATACAATTTTAATTTTGTATGGGCCGTGGATCAAATAGAAAAGGAATCACCTTTATTTGTCGCGTGCTTCTCAAATTCAACTAGTTTTCAGAATCAAAAATAATATTCTAACTCTATTGATTATTTGATCTTTGTTGGTTAATTAATGGCTCCAACAAATGTGTAAAATATTGCTATGCACTGAATTATTATTTTGCACCGACATCGAATCGAAAAGTCATGTGAAGTGCTAGCTTCTAGCAAGGGTTGCAATATTATTCACATACAAAACCCTGCTACCGAATTGTATATTTTGTATTCTCCGCCCATCTCTTCCCTCTGAGTATTTCTAATGAACATAGGTGACTATAATACCTGTCCCATTTGAATAGGAAATCAAGCAAAGATGTGACTGTTTTGCTCTAATTGGCAGTATAGCACCCTCCTTAATCAAGCGTTACCTTATAAAATCAAGTAGGTATATCGGGAAGTTTCGGAAACAAGGTTGATCTGTACCAAAGGATCAATAAATCTAAAAAGATACCCACTTCTTAAAGCATATATTTACTGACCGATCAGTTCCTTCAGTAGATCCTCACATCGAATACCTTCGCACTCCATGGTTTCCACATTTTGCAGCTCCACCAAAACTGCTTTCTCCATTTCGACCAAAATGGGTGGTTTCTTATACTGAAATGATAGTAAATGCTTGATTCAAAGTAACACAACAAATTAAACTTATTCAAGTTTACCGATATGATCAACGTGTTGTGCTGATGCTTCACCGTCAAATCCTCCACCTTCGGCGGAAAGTTACACCTCTGAAACTCGTGAACGACAATCTTCTTGAAGTACTTCTTGTTGGAAGTCCGCACCGTGATGGTCCGGTCGTCACCCTCGCACGTAATCGCGTAGGTAGACAATGGGTAGGGCAAATTTCTGATTCGCCACTCGATGCAATTCCGCGTCACCCGTTTCGAGAGGACCGGTTCCGTTGGGGCTTCCTGCAGCACCAAGCCATCGTTCTTAATCGCCTTCGGTATCGGTTCACCGAGCTCGACTTCCCAGTCATCCTTCCGCAGTAAATCAATCCGCACTTTCCAGGCCCGTCGAAGGACACAACCCGTTTCGGTGCTGTACTCCTCGGCCATCTCGTTGCCATCAGCGAAGTTGTAGTGCACTTTCCGGACCGTGCCCTGGATTGCCGATGACTTATCGGCAGCACGAATCTTGGTCAACCACTCGACGTACGACATTTTGTTTCGCTGTCCGGATAATCGTTCCAAATTGTTCCAAACAGATTTTAGAACATTGCCATGGCGATAATGACGATTGACTTTTATGTACCACCAAGTTGTTTAACGCTTTGAAAACAAAACAACGTGTGGAAGCCACCGGTTTGTGTATATGAAACAATGTTGCCAAGATTAGCCAAAATTCGTGAAATGGATATTTTAATTTGTAATTTTAATAAAAACTTGTTTGTTATCGAACTAATACATCAAGCATAAGCCTAATATATGTCATTCTACAAAAATATACTAGCTAGTTATACTTTATTGTTTTCTGGAGTCCGTGTCGTCCGCGTACAAACATTATTAAAATTTACAAATTTGTTCGCAGTACATCAGACTGGCAACACGCGAACCACGTGCATTTCGGACGAGAGAGGAAACTTCCCGCAGAAAGGCATCAGAAGAGAGAACTGTCAAAAAAGTGCATCGCTGTTTGTTCGAGTTTCTCTGCGGTGGGAGAGAGATGAGAGGTCACAAGCTCAAACAAACCGCTTGCGAGAGTGAGTGCTCTCCTTTCCTGTTCCCAAGTTGCTCCTTTTGTTTTGCGTGGCCATGTGTAGTACGCGGAAAACGGCGATCGGAAGGGCAGATCCTGCCTGCGGAAATTGTCCACGGAAAACGAAGAAACATTGATCTAAAATATCATGCAGTGATTTATATGGGAAGTGCTTCTAGTGCTAGCGATGAAGAATATGTGTTGAAGTTGTGAAATGTGACGAAAATGAACGTTCTGCAGTTAAAAGTTTTCCCGGAGTGGGTGGTATGGCAACGGAACTCACTTCGTTTTTCTCACCCATCCTTGTGAGTGGGGTGTGTGAAAGCTCGCCGATGTAAGCTTAATATTAGTCCTCTCTGATGTGACAGTATACAGATGTGTATGTATGTATGTACGTTTCGATTCTGTTGTTGTTTTTGTTATGAGCTGCAATAGCCGAAGGGATGGTTGAACTTTCCGGGAAGAGCTTTCGATGGGGAAGTGCTCGTTGCGTCGGTTCAGGCTCGGTGATGGATATTGGCCTGTCGCCTTTTGTGGTCAACATTGGCCAGGGCAGGTGTTCAAATGGTACCTTAAAACTGTACCTACCTGTACAATTTTTGCATCAGTATAATTGCTTGGCAAGTACAATCCTACTCTTTGACCAGGGAAGCCGAGAAATTATCCAACCCGAAAAATCCTTAGGATCGGGAATCGAACCCAGCCACCACCAGCATGGTCTTGCTTTGTAGCTGTGCCTTTGCCGACTGAGCTAAGGGAGGCCCCTATCTTTACTCAACATCTATACAAGCAAATCTAGCGAACTTAGTCAGCTACTTATGGCTGTTGGGACGGTTGTGACAAGCTCTTATTGCAAATCCATTTACGCTTATATACAGCTGTTATTCTGCTGTTTAGTTACGTGTGCACTTGAAAGGCGCTCATTCAACTTGTTTACGAATTTCCAATAATCACTACACAGCTTTATCTTGAAACCGGTTTAAATATTCTTTGGATGAATTTATTGATTTTATTTTACTGCGAATCAAATCAATCGAAATTAATTATAAGCAACACCACCAAATTATTACCCTGCACCCAGAGGGTTGGTCACTCAGCACAGTATGCCAAAAACACAGTAGGGCACACCATGGCACACTCATTGGCACTGTTTGGCACCCATTGTAGGTAATTTTTATGATCTTTAAAATAACTCATGCTGAACATTGCATTAAGTCCTAAGTAACATTGACAGATTCGAAGAAGAAGAAGAAGCTTTTATCTAGCATCTGATATGACAAACACATTAAGAAACGGTTCCGTGATCAAGTTATTAACGAAAGAGAAAGTCGACGAAGAGAATCGATCAATGTTACTTAGGACCTAATGCAATGTTCAGCTTGAACTGGTATCACTTCACTATTTCTGTGCCTGCGCAGTGCGGATGGGTCAAAATTGGATTGTTGACACAAACAATTTTGGGTATCACCCTTACTGGCCATGATCCGCAACTGGAGAACGGAAGATGCCGACATCACGACGACGACCGGATGGTTCGTTTCCCAATCACGCTTTCGTCGCTGTTGTTCCTGCTGCCGCCTCTGACGGTTACTTTTGCCCGGCGAAGTGTATAGACTGGCGGTGCCACCAACGCAACCCGGTTGTCAGCAGCAGCACCACCAGCAGTATCTCACTATCTTCTACATCACAATTGTCTACTAGCAGTAATAAAGCTCCTGTTGTTGATTGTTGGCCAATCCAATCGCCATAGACCAGACTGATGTACGTTCCGTCCGGTTCCCTCAGAGACAGACTGGTGAGACCCGTGGAAAGAACATTCATCTCTCTGCCGGAGATATCGTCATCTAGATCAATCTCATAATCGTGCGACAGAGGACAAATATCATCCATGTGAGCATGCTCATCGTCATCTTCATCATCCAGGCTGTGCGGCTACGTCGACAGTCCCGTCTGGCTGGAGCATATTCGCATCTACGAAGCACTTCTACGGATTGGTTTCACGGTTCGCAGTGGTCGATTTTGGCAAAATTGAACTGTGACTAATCGATTTCCTGCTTCATACATTCCGTCTCTAGTAGCTCCTGGATGGTGACCGAGTTTTGGGATTCTTGCATAATAGCGAAAACACACGTACTCCAATTCTTTGCTGATTTCGTGCGGAATGATCAGTTCGAATTGCAGGATTTCCTCAACGTCCACGAATGGGTTCTTGAAGAACATAAACACGTACAGTGTTACACCGAGAGCCCACATTTTCAGTTCCAGGCCAGAGTAGTGCCAACACGTCCAGACTGCAGTACTCGGTAGAAAAAAGTTGCCCCGAAGGCAATCAGCTTGATATGGAAATTGTGATCGATGATAAAGTTCTCGTCTTTGATGTCCCGGTGCAGAATGTTCAACGAGTGCAGGAAATCAGCCGTATTAGCAAACTGTCGAAAAATTCAACAACCCAGCTCCGACATCACGGGTCTTCAATCGATAAGCTCGAACAGATCCATCCCGGAGCCGTTGATTTCCATCCCAACCTCGAAGAAATTGTCGTTTTCGGACCAATCGAACATGTTGACAATGTTCGGATGCTTCAAGTGCGTCAACAGGTACACTTCTGTCGAAATTTCCCGCTTCTCCTCGGTCTTAATCATAAACGGCGGCACGAGCTTCTCCTTCAGTATGAACTTCGATATCACCAGCGTGTAATTTTGGATGGACTCGCCATGGATCAAATCTACAGCGCACTGCGACATACGAGAGACGGATCTGGACGGACCTCCATCAATCAGGGAAGCGTCTGATTTGAATTGATTTGGTGTACAGTATGTCAATCACGTTGCCATCGAAGTGAATTGCTTCCCCGCGGTACTTCCCATCTGAATAGATCAACCTGTGCGCTCCACAAGGAATCGAAAGCGTTCTAACGGTCGAATGTCGTTTCTGTTGATCTGGCGTCGACAGCTCGTACGGTTTGACATACCAAAAACAAAACATTGGATGGCCAAACATACAATTATTTACAAACACTGAGAAAAACGTTGGCGCAAAATAAGTGTATAGTGTGACCACCCCTTGCCTGCACCAGAACCGATGTCAATCATACAAGGTTAGGAACAACAGGCAGTTTGCTCAACCGGTGGAAACTACGATTTTAAATTGGCTCACTACTTGACTAGCCTATTGGTACCAAGCAAATCGATTAACGTACCCCATTCTAGTCGATATTCTAGTACTACAATATGTTTGTTTTGATTCGCTATGAAAGTTTGACAGATAAAATGAGGGGCTCGTGGATTTTCCTATGTTTTGAGGGGTGCATCGATTAGCTTGGGACCGAAGAGAGTACCAGAGCTGAGCCAAAAAGTTGAGCACGTTTCTTCGGAACCTTCTAGTCTTAGAGTTACCTCTATGGTTTGCTGGTGTTAGAAGCAAAAATGTTGTAAAAATTGCTGAGCAAGCGAAAGACGATGTTACCAACAATCAATACGAAACTAACGATTTTAAATTGGCTCACCACTTTAGTAGCCTATTGGTCCCAAGCAAACGATTAACGTACCCTATTCTAGTTGAAATTCTATTACTACACTATGTTTGTTTTGATTCGCTATGAAAGTTTGACAGATAACATCAGGGGTGTGTGGATTCATGCAGAACATGCAGGGGTGAGTGAAATAGCTTGGGACTGCTTGGGACCGTTGTTCTGGTACTGAGTGAGCCAAAAATAATAATGATTTTCTTCGGGACCCAGTGGTCTTAGAGTTACCTCTATGATGTTACGGCATCACAACTGCCATACTGCGATTGGTAGAGGTGTTGTCACAGAAAACAGCTGTTTCGTGTAAAAAGATAAACATTGCGATGAAATACGAACACCACTAAACATTTCCACATTTCACTAATACCAATAAGCCGGATGGGCCGCACCAGAACGTGGACTCGAACTCGAGACGACCTTGGCAAACCTTGACACTACCAACCACAAACAAAGTGACAGACGGAGCTGCTCGAAAACTTTGGTGACTAACCTGCTATTGCAATTTTTCAGTGTACCACATGGCAACACTACTACTGGATTGTAATAGCATTTTCACCAAATGTGCTAGAATATTTTGGTTCTATCTCTCTCACCCTACACAAAACGGAAATGCATGAAAAATGACAAAATGATACACTCTTTGCACACTGTCAAAGATCATTGAACACAAAATCAACTTTGTTCAAATCAAAACAAAAATACTAGCCCATCTGGTGGCTGATGACACAAGCTTCTAAGAAGATTCTACTACAGCAAACCACATTATTTTAATTGATTTCTTCGCCAGTTAGTCGTCTGTCACTTCGTTTGTGCTACCAACTTAGCTACGCCAACACTTTAAACTGTCGTAAAAATATCTACAACAAGATTTCTGAGTAGAGGCTTAATAATAGTGCACATGAATCACTTTTCTCGACTAGTTAGTTCAGCTTTGTAAAGGAGCGTAAAATTGCACAAGTCTAACTGGGAAAAATATGGCTTATACAGCTGAAAATGTTAGTTGGGTATGCTCTCTCGATAGTCACAACAAGCAAGCACGTGATCGGTTGATTTCGGCCAAATCGGATCGGAAATTCGGATAAATTTTCAATAATTTTCTAATAACAAACTACTATAATCTTTATAAAAATGAATCTTACATCAAATCTGAATCCAATGGGGTGATAAAAATTGAAATCCATCCATAAATGGCTAAGTTATAAGCGTCTAAAACCTGACATAATTTCGTCACACCATTTTTTTGATTTGCACCCCAGTATATTCCACAAAGACGTAATCCTACGTAAAAAAAACAAACAAACTTCCATTAGCACTAGAGAGGGTCTAGTATAAGAGAGGAGCGGATTCAAAACAAACTGACTTGGCAGCCTATGCCTAGGTCATTTCTAGCAACACTGCCAATGCAATCAAGATAGTACGTTTGGCTCAAAACCAGCCAGTCCGCTCCTCTCTCATACTAGACCTTCTCTATAATTAGCACCACACAGGAAAATATCTGCACGGCGAATGAGAACGACTCAAATTTGAGTTTAGTTCACTCATAATCGCCAAAAGTGCAGGAACTCAGCGATGAGTAAATTTGCCTCATGTTTTCCCAGGTTTTTCCAGGATTTTCCAGGGAAAAATTCCTGAATTTGAGAAAAGTAAAGATTGCATTCACTCAGTCTATTGGTACTACTAGGAGACTGAATAAAATTTTCGTCAATTTCCTCATTTTCCGGCAGATTTTTTAGGTTTTCCACAGGAAACCATGAGACAAATTTTACTCAAAAAATATCGCTCGTTGATGTCCCGAAAGTGAAGCCTTT